TTGTTGTGTACGTTCGAATAAATTGCTAATAAGATGGAGAAAAAATATTTAAAAAAAAAGATACATAAAACGTTAAGTCGCCAGACGGGGAAAAGATCGCGTGTGTCTCGTTTCTCGTGTATGGCTCCCTGCGCGTCGCATTCCGACGCTCGTTTCATTTCATTTCATTTAGGCCCGTTGGGGCATCACATAAAGAGGGGAGGGGGTATGAGCGAATATAATACAATAATTTGAAACACAGAAATCAAAGTAAAACAAAAGTAGAAACAAAAAGTAATAAAGAGCGCATGCAGTGACCATCCGGTGGTTAGCAGAGGTGTAAGGTGACTGACTGGCGGAAAATAAATGGGTTTGATGTAAGTACTATTTCCTCGGGAAAGGTAGTTCCAGATGGTTATAACCTGCGGAAAAAAAATAAGGTATTAAAGGCTAGTGTTTTCTGTTATACGTTTGATGCAGTGACTGCGACTGAGGCGAGATGATATCTTATCTTGAGGTAAAAGAATAGGGAGTCATATGGACTTGTGTTTTTGTGGTAAAACTTATGCATGAGACACACTCGAGAAGTTAGTCTGCGGTCGGATAGTAATGGAAGATCTAGGGTTTGTTTAAGTTGGGTTACGATGACGTCGTAGGAATACGTTGATGTAATGAATCGAGCTGCACGGTTTTGGACTGCTTCGAGGTTATCAGCGAGGTAAGCTCGTGAAGATGCCAGATGGACGACGCATATTCAAGTTTTGGACGGAAAAATGTTATGTAGGCCAGTTTTCTCAGGTGGGAGGGTGCTGATTTCAGATGGCGTTTCAAGTATCCAAGGGCGCGTGATGCTTCGGCTGTCGATATGCTGAATCCGTGAGAGCGGGGGAACCAAAATGAACACCAAGGTACTTTGTAATGATGCAGTGCCGATTACAACACCGCGCTTAGAGAGCATGAATCAAAAATAGTAGATTTCTTTCCGCGTGAATGATATAAGTTTGCTTTTCTCGCGGTTAAACCATTTATCGCTCATGTCCACGTTAAGGCAATCGTAGGTTTACTTTAGTGACCGGAAATATGCAGCTGCGTCCCGTTAATCGGTGCTGGACGACAGAATTCATCGAGACCGGAGAAAAACGCAACCGACCTCGGGTTATCTCGTCGTCCACAGTTTATGAGAAGTGACAGTTTTTGTGGAGTGCGGTAAAAGCGGACCGGCGGCGCGTGCCTTTCCACTTAAGCGAGCGACGCGGAAGCACGCGCCGCACGCAACGACGTCAACAGTCGCAGACAACTTTACAAACGCAGGGCGTGATTCGTTCTTGTATGAAGGTAACACTGGTCATACACGAACATCTCTGCAGAGAGTATTTGCATGACCAGTGTTGCCTCACACATCTTTTCTACATAAGCTGCATCACCAGTGGGACTGCAGCTTGAAGGTTACACGCGCAATTGCTTCCCACGACCCTTCGTATCAGAAGCGTCTTTGAACCCAGGTAACTTTCCTTCCTCGGTGGCTCGGTCGGTCCAGCAAGGGGCAAACTGACGCTGGCGATTTTCACGGCCAATATAGGCGGCAGAACCCGTTGGTGTAATTTCCAGGCGATCACGATCGGTTGTTTGGAAGCCGAGTGGTGCGTAATCATCGACGGGTCGCTGACCGATTCGCTCGGCAGTGAACCCTACGGACAGGCGGGCGGTCCTTCGAATAACTATCCCGCCACCCGTCTTCCACGACACAGCCACTGTTTTTAGCGGGCGCCTTCAGCGCGTGCCAGATTAGAACCGCCATCGCTGACCTTCTCTTGTCTGGCTGACATGTGGAGCCACTAAAGCCGACGCTGACGATTTATTTATACACAGAGGTCAGCATTGAACGAAGGGGGAATGTGGGGTCTAGAAATGCAATGACCGGTCCCGTTAGCGCGGGGACAAAGTGAAGCAGAACAAAACGTGAAGGCAGATTACGGCAGCGCCCGTGCACAACCGCCAAAACGTCTTAAGAACAGTTGCAAAAAAAAAAGAAAAAAAAAAGGTATGAGTGGAGACGAATTCATCGTAGTAAAAACCTATAACTGAGTAAAAAAAGAAACATTGATGGCGTTTTTTTTTTTTTTTTTTTGTCTCTTACGCAGTTCAGATGTTTTGTTTTGTTTTCCAATTCATTTTAGGTTTTACCACATTATGACTAGTAGTTTTCTTTTTCCAATGCAAAATGATGTGGGTTCTAGTGGAGATCTCCACAAGAGCAATGAGCAAAACAAAGCGTCATGTGTGTCCCTTTGGCGATTGTATTTTGGAACCAAACGCGTTTTTTGGGCTTTGTCACTCACTGGACGTGCCAAGTATAGACAGCCGTAACTGCCCTACTTTTTCGTGCTCTGCCGGAGGGCAAAGGTGCAGAAATTTCTTAGCGTGGACGCGCTACCAAGTTTCTGCAAAGTTTGAAACCTCATAGTGTGGAGCTTCATAACAATGGGATTTCATGGCGTCAACTTTACACAAACTAGTTTTATCGAAGTGAACCATCCGTGGCTGATTGTGGACACTTCTAAAACTCCCACGCGTTTTCTTATACCGCGTTCCCGCACGCGTTTTCTTATACCGCGTTCCCGCTGCTATACATCATACCAAAGACAGTCCGCAGACAATGACTGAGGTGTTCCTTCTACGACGGTCACATCGATCACACAAAAACTGTTTGCAGACATGTTCTAAATGTACATATGATGATATCATCATGTCTAAAGCGAACATAGTGTATTTTTGTGCGATAGGAGCACTGCGGCTGCTGCGGCTTTGGACAGCCCTCGGAGAGCCAGTGACAACGATTACGGAGATTTCGGTAAAGCACGAGGTCGCAAACATTCTTAGACCTATAAATAAAGACTCTTGTTTTACGTGACAGCGTGCATGAGGCGAGTTTGCGGGGATGCAAAAACATGCCACGGCGTCTCCTTGCGGCGCTCTTGCGGAAAAGGCACATCGACCATTCTAGCCATGTTTGTCTACTGACCTGTGGTGTAGGCTGTCTGAGCATGCCTTGAAGCTATCTTCCGCGAAGTATCAAACGCCGCAGCTCGATGATTTGGCACTTTTGCAACCGGGTGATAAGCGCTCGAAAGGTGTGTGTGGACAGTTGATGTGCAAGGTTAACCATCGATCAGCATCAAATGAAATAGCCTGTCGTCAATGGGGACGACAATGAGGACTAGCCTCGAGTGTTTCTCTCGCTCGAAAACTCTCGCAGTTATTGATGGCATATACACACGTTACTTTTTTTTCTTTCGAAGCATTCTATCGTCGGGGGTTCGCTAACTGGCGTCTCTTCCGGAATGTAGGTTAGGCGTCGGAGGTACTCCGCGAGGGGCATCGGCTCCCGGACGAGTGGCAGCTGAGAGAATATAATCGCAGTCGCCCGAGGGATTCCATTGTATCGCCGTTGCGCGTAAGTTCGCAGGTTCGACTCGACGGTCGGAGAAAGTGGCTGGGCGGCAGGCCGCCCGAAATAGCTCTAAATGCTCGGTCCCAGCGTAGCTTGGTCAACGGCGAAGGCTACGGTCTCCGTAAGCCAATCACCGGGTGGGAGGTGGACACGTGACGTCACTAGTTGCTGTTGCAGAGCTGTCGAAGCCAAGGGCGGGAGAGAGAGAGAAAAAAACCGCTTTTGTATGAATTTTGAGTTACGGGCAAGTTTTCTAGAGGGGCTAAAGCGGGGGGACAAAAGAGGGTAAGAGGGGAGTTCCTGCTTCTGCTCTTGGGAAATACGCTCTCGCTCCTTTGGTAAGGGCTGTCAGGTGCCTCCGTCGCTCTGATTAGCTGGACGGGTCCGTAGCATTCGCCCTTTGCCAAGTTACGGGGGAAGCAAGTATAGCATGATGGATGTGCTTACGAGTGACCACGATCGCTTCGTGACGGAGCGAAGGAGGCTCAAGATGGGTGCTTACAGCGCGGTACGTTTCTGCGGGCGCTCTGACTGATATAGGGAGGAAAAAGGTCCTCGCCGCCGCACTTAATTCATCCAGTGGACAATTGCCGCGATAATGGAAGTTGCACGGGAGGCGAATGAAACAGCGCACAAAAGACCACAAGGACAAGTACAAGGACGTAGCCATTTGGGAAGCTATTGGAGCAGTTTACGTTGAGCGAGGGCGTCGCTATCACAGTAATGTGCTCCCTCTCATGTGCCTCGGGCTACGTGAAAATTGGAAAGAGGGTCATAGAGAGGAACTTTTAATTTCAGGGCCAACCCAGGGGCACCGGGTGACCGAGGGGCATACCTGATGGAGGTTATGTATGGTATCCTTCCACTGTTGGGTGCGGTCGCCAAGTGGAAGTTCAGCGGGGATAGGATAAAGAGTTTGGCTGCTCTTGACCAGACATGTACGCGCTACTGAAATGAAGTGACTAAGTACGTTACTCGTTAGTGCGATTCATATGGAACGCGTTACCTCAGCTTGAAAGTAACGCGTTATTTTCTCGTACTCTGAATGTGTCGTTTTTACGAAGCTCGCTTCCAATGTTTGCCGTCGTTAATAGTTTTTAATTTTTAACGTGTTCATTCGGAGATAACTGTGGCTATACTGGCATACCTTGTGCCCATCTTTTTATGGTCTATCTAGCGTTTTCTCTTCGTGCAAGTAGCATACGCGAGCAGGGACGAGAACTAGGTCGGGTACTTATTTGTGTCGTACACGTTGCCCCCCCTTCCAGAAGTAACTGAATACCTTTACTCGTTACTTCATCAAAGACTAATAAAAATACGTTACTCGTTCCTTCTATCAAAAACGTACTATTTTTACTTCGTCACCGAAAAAAATTATTAAGGTACAAGTAACACGCGTGTCACGTACAAGTATCTCTTTGACAGCGACCATAACCCCTCCCGTAGGCCCCTCTCTTTCTAGACACTAGCCCCCCCCCCCCCCCCCCTTTCCTTGGAACCGGCGTAGTGCTGAAGGGATGTCGCAAACACGTTTCGTTACATGCGAATGCATCGTAGTCTATAGACTCACGTGACGGTGTGCGAGGCCATCTCGTGTCCCTTGGAGTAGAGCGTCTGCACCTGGCCGTAGTCGGTCCACTCGTGCGACACGTAGAAGGTGCCCCGGATCGGGCAGCCGTTGGGGTTCTTGCGGCCGGTGTCGAAGATCTCGGTGTAGTGATCGATGTTGAGGTCGTTCACCGCGTCGTCGAACGTGAGTAGGACCACCTGCGGCACCTCATGGTTGGGCAGGCCGCCCGGCACGTCGGTGCCGCCGCAGTGGCAGTCCGGAAGCCTGCACTTGCGGGCCTCGCACCGCGCCGCCGTCTCAAGGGGCGTCGGCGTCGCGTACAGGTTCCGGGGCCTCGCCGGCGGAGACGGAGGGGTCGTCGGAGACGGGGCCCTCGTGCTCGGCCTGCTGAAGCCCTTCGGGAAGGGCCTCCTGGACGGCTTAGGCGTCGTCGTGGTGGTCGTGGTGCTCGTGGTTGTCGTCGTCGTGGTCGTCCTGTACTTCTGGCGGCGCGGCGTCGGACGCGGGGTGGTGGTGGTGTGGTACGCGTCGTCCTCGTCCGGATAGGCGTACTCGGACTGCAGGTTGTAATTGTGGTCGTAGTCCTGGTACGACGGGTACGTGGGCGCTTTGGTGGGGGCCTGAGTCACGGCGTCCAGCTTGTGAGGGTACTTGGTCTCGTACACGTACGTCTGGGTCACCGGGGGACGTTGTTGCTGGATCGACTGGACCGGCGGTGGTGGCGGAATTTGGGACAGGAGGGTCTGTTGCGGAGTTCTCGGGTAGTACCTGGCGTCTCTGTTGCGGCCGCGACTCGCCGGACGGATGCTGGAGTCGCCGGGGATCCTCTGCGCATTGTTATTCTCTCTTTGGGAGTTGGGCAGCTGCTGTCGCTGTTGCTCCAGGAAGGCCCTGAAGTCGTCCTCGTCTTCATTGTTATAACCCCCGTTGTACTGGTACCTGTTCTGGTCCCTGGGGTACGTGACAAGGACCACGTCTTTTCTGTTGATCTCACCGGGCGCGGGCCGCGCGTTGTTGCTGGAGTAGACGGGCAAGACGTCGTCCTCGAGGTCTCTCGGGTTGGGCGCCGCCAAGATGGCCGTCTGGTCTCTCTTGAACACCTGGTCGCTCTCCTTGTCCTTCTGGTCGCCCGTGTTCCGGTAGAGCGGCTTCACGAAGACGCTCAAGGTTCCCCTGTCTGGCTTCTGGGTCTGCTGTGGCTGTTGGCCCTGCTGCTGCTGCGGCCTGCCGTTGCCGAGGAACTTATCTGGACGTCCTCCGTCGGACACGTGGATACCGCCCTCCGAGTCCACGACCGGCGGCACGGCCTCATCATACTGGGGCTGCTGCGGGTCGTAGCTGTTGGACAGCGGTCCACGGTGTCCGGGCTCGGGCTTCCTGCCCTTCACCTCCGCCAGGCTCGGGGTGACGCCCGGACCGTCGCGGTCCTCGGGCACCTCCGTCGACCCACTGTCATCGCCTTCCTCTTCCTCATCCTCCTCTTCCTCACTCTCCTGGCTCTCCTCTTGCTGCGGCCTCTTGCGGAGTCCGTCCTCGTAGAGGGTCTGGTACTCGGAGAAGGTGGTCGGGAAGCGGCGGGAGGTCGTGGTCGGCGCTGGCGTGGTCGTGGTCCTGACGGTCGTGGTGGTGGTCGGCGTGGTCGTCGGTCGGTAGCGCTGCCGTGGTCGCGTGGTCTCGCTCACCTGGCGCCCCGACGACGAGCCTCGCCGGCTGCCACCGCTTGTGCCCCGGCGCTGGCTGCCGCCGAACGTCTTCTCTTCTCTGCTCGGAGACGGCGTCGATTTCTTGGACGCCGCTGAAACCGGGAGAAACGACCTGTCAGTTGGGGGTACTCATTTCCTCGCGCGTCTCCTGCAGGCACCATCGTTGACATAGGTTTGCCTGAAGACGTTTCCAGCACCATGCACTAATAGATTACAATCTTGATATTTTATTTAATATATTTAATTTTGAGCGTGCTGCCAGCCGAGAGGTCAAAAGCTAAGAGTATTAATCGTTGAAAGTAATGATACACTGATACACATAAATCGACTCTGCAAAAGACGCCTATGCGCACAATTTTCTGCATTCAACGATAGGCAATTACATTAGTCGATAAAAAATGTTTATAAAATAATATGCGATAAAGTGAGCAAAAGCAAAGTGTTTCTAGTGTTTTATTGTACTTACATAATAACAGTGTTTTTTATTTTTGTTTTTTACCTCTTTCCTTTTTTTTTCTTTTTGCTTTTTTTAGTTTCTCTTTTTCCCCACCAGAGATGCCTGCTGTAGAGCTGAGATCAGAATAAACACTGTTCGTAAAATTTTTGTCTGTTTCTCTAGTATAATTACCAACCTTTGAATATGTAATATACCTAATTGATCGCTATTTCTTATGGTTTGTTGTTTTTGTTGTAATAATTACCTACAGAATTGCATATATTGTTGCGCGCCCCTCCTTCTTGAAGCAGATTTCTGACCTGAAATACTCTGTGAAGAAGAATAATTCTTGACATATCCGGAAGGAAATCTACGACTGCTCGTTGATTCTTGACATCTCAAAAGCGGATATCCATCGAATAGTGCACTGTGAATATCCAAAGGTTGGAGCAAGCCAGCAGAGGGAGCGGTAGGGTGCTACCAACAGTGACCATATCAATAACGTATTAACCCTTTTAGCAAACCGTTACCGTGTTCCGCGTACCGCAAGACCGGAGATTTTGGAGCATGCTTTTAAGCGCGCGCTCCGAGGTCATGGTATATCACCCGGGCGTCCGCTTCAAAGCACTCTTCAAAGGCTCCGGTAGTGCGGAACGCGGAACACGGTAACGGTTTGCTAAAAGTCCCGAATACTCCGTTTCATACTCCGTTTCACGATAAGTTGGCGAACTTTGGAGGCCACGGCCCCCGCGACCCAATGCAAAACGCCAGTTCGTCTGCTTTCTTTTTTTATTTTTTTTTTCTGCAGGGGTTGTGGTGACGTTAAAACGAGAGGCTCTGATTGGCTCTGATCGGAAGGATAGGGGGCAGACCTCAAAGCAAGCTGCCTTGAGATCTACCTACTATCCTTCAATCAGAGCCAATCAGAGCTTGGTGTTTTTCTGACGTCACCAAAATCCTTTCAGAAGAAGCAGACGAACTTGCGCTCCGAAAAAGAGCGTCGGAGCGAGGCACGTGACACCACGTCACGTGACCGTGTGGCCGTTTTCCAATATTTACTCGATCTTACTCTAGGGTAAAGTCCCTGTACCTTGACGTTCGAAAACCTACCCGCGTCCAGCGTTGCTCTATCTGTCTTGTCACGTGACACGATTTGTCGGAGTAACTCGGATCCATTCGAGTGCGAGTGAAGAAGATAATGATTTCATCCGGGTCAAGATTATCATAGCAGTAATAGGAAAAAATATTTCATTAAACTTCACGCGGAGGAAGACATCATGTACACGTTACTCAAATAAAGCGTCATAATACCGTCACTCGTTACTTACTCATAAAGTTAGCGAGTACGTTAATTGTCACTGAGAATAAAGAAAAACCTGTTAGTTTCCCGTTACTCTGAATGTGTCCTTTTAGGAAGCGGTAGGGGCTTCCAATATTTGTCGTCATTAATAAGTCATCGCTTTTAACACGTTCATTCACGAATAGCTGTGGCTCTATTGACATACCTTGTGCGCATTTTTTCTGGTCTGTCTAGCGTTTCCTCGTCGCGCAAAATACATTCTTGAGCTGGGGTGAAAACTAAGCTGGGTATGTTGTACACGTTTCCCTCTAGAAGGAACTCTATTAATCGTTACTTTATCAAAATATAACTAAAATGCGTTACCCGCTCCTTCTCTTCAAAAGTAAGTAGGTCGTTCGTTTGTTACCGTAGGGAGGAACAAGGTACAATTATAACACGTTACGTGTAAGTCTGCTTGAGGGACACGCAGTCTGTGGATCTACTACAGCGGTGTTTTGCCTGCGCAAACATGCAGCGGGAGGGGCGCTAGTAATGAGGCACGCAACCTCTCTCACCGCCGGCGCATTGGACGTTCCTGGGCCAGTCGCAGGTCTGCAGCTCCACGCTGAAGTACAGGCCCCCCGTGCAGCTCTCGTGCAGGGCGTCGCCGAACACGCACACAAAGTACTTGCTGCAGTCGCCCTCGTCCGCGTAGTAGCCGAACTGCTCTGGACACTTGAACTCCTCGGCGCCCCCTGGTACAAACATAGAGAAAGAATGGTTTTCAGCAACTGTGCAGCCCTTCGTGGGTGCGGACATCTTTGACCTCGTTACTTGAAGCCGCGGGCACACTGCTCAAAAGACGCGATGTTCGTTGTAGACACGCATGACAGAACTATCCACGGGCATGTGTCAAGCATGTTCGAAGCATGTCTGTCCAACATGTCTGCAGACTGTTTTGTATGAGCAGTGTGTCAGAAGCCGTCATACATGTAGAAGAAAGAAACAGGCCACAACCTTGCCTGATTTCTAAGCAGTAAAACCGCGGCTGCCAAACTCTCAAAACGAATTAAATACGAGCGCGGTAGAAGGTGGTAAGAACAACTTTAAGAGGAACCTCCCGCAGAAGCCTCAGAGTGGCAGCCAACGATTCGTTAAGAGGCTTGGAATGTTCAGGTGCTGCCTGCAGAGATTTAGCTTTGTGAGACCTTCAGGAAGTACGTCTCAAAAACCTCAGACAAAGTAACGTTAAGAAACGTAGTTTATTCTTGATGCCCTGAAGAGCCATAGATTTCTGATGACCTGAAGAGCCATTGCGTCTTGAGGCCCTGAAGAAACTTAGATTATTGATGCACTGAAGGCCCGTATACCTTCTTGAGGCCCTGCAGAGCCATAGAATTCTGAGTTCGTGAAGAAGTTATGACTCTGAAGTTCCAGAGCTGAAAACAATATGTCGTTAAAAAAGTTTATCTTCCTGGGTGCATGCATGTATAGAGGCTAAGCTTCTTCAGGCCCTAAAGTATCTAAGCCCCTTTGCAAAACGTCGGCTTATATTGTGGGGCTTCTGCAGAAGATTATGTTTCGAACACACAACACAGAATGCCACGAGTATCACCATGTCGCATACCTGCATAAATCACGGCGCTAAAAAATAAAATGTCGATCTCTTCGTCGTCACTCTTGAGGTGACTTTCCCGTTACCTCGCGGGAACAATTTTCAGCGAGAACGCACCATAAATCATACGAGCTCCGTAATATTTATTATATATGAGCCATGTCTGATACAGGGCACGCGCGAAGGCAACCTGCACTGCTTCGAAGCAGCGAGTGAACCAGCTGAAGTTTGCATGCTCCGCTAAAATATCGCATGCATCGTATGCAACGCTTCGCTTCCGGGCATGCGAGTCTGGTGCCACCAAGGTAATCGCGCGCCAGAGTCGCTAAGGTGCACGGACATGCAGATAGGCGTAACGGAGCATACGAAAGCTGTTCGTCGGAGCAAGGTGGCAGGATGTACTTTATAAGTCAGTCGCCAGATTATTCCGCGAGGACAGCGGATTACGAGGAACGTGAAACCGGTAAGGAATTGCTTTCACGCACTCACTACACTTGCTTACATCCAGGGATCTCAAGAAAAAAGAAACGAAGTCCGGGAAGATGGGACTCTCATTGAACGCATTTTACGAGAACGCAATGAAGGAACCAACGATCATTCTTGATCAATTCGACCACAGCGTAACGACACTGATGAGTACAGTGTGTTGAAGGTTGAAAGCCTCAGTTTTGGTAGCACTTCTGCAATGACCAAGTGAATCTTCAACCTGACAACATTGCAGAGCAGACTAGCCTCCAACTGTTCAAATCTCCAACAAGATTGGCGTTCTTGGCAAACAAGGAGTACTAGGAGCTCGTTCTTAGCATGCGTAATGAACACCGCTCTCAAATATGGCGTTTGTAGTGAACATCGCCTATCGATAGCAACAAAAGAGAAACGTATTTGGCGAGACGTTGTTTTTTAGTTGTTTTTTTTACTGGCTGATCCCTTGGCCTCAATCAACGGAAGTGCCTGATCTCGCGCATAAGTGTTCCCTTCCGCACGATCCTTGTGATCAGTGCCCCTTCTCGGCTCAGCTCAGTTGGATCGGGAACTGCGCATTACCGGCGCACACGCGCGCTCGTTCATGCTGGCAACGTTGGAGCGACGTCGCATGACAGGGGCGCCGTGTCCACGGCTGCTGCATGCATGGGTCAACTTGAGCGGCGTGCGTCGCCGATCGGCCCGTCCCCGATTCGATCGTTTAGGAGACGTCTTCTTCCGCGTTTCCGCGATTGTGCATCACCGTGATTCGATCGCATCGGTGGGTAGCCATTTTTATTTCTTCCTCCCTTCCTCTCTTTCTCCCTCCCAGAGTGCGCTCGGGGGGTGAAAGCACGCCGCGGTGTCATCCCCTTCCCACGTCGTTTCGTGCTCGTAGCAGCGGCTCTCCGACAGTTTCCGGATGACATTGGGAGCGCCGAGGGCTGGGCGGAAGCGTGTATGCCATACGGCTCTCTTCATTGGCGTCGCGTCTGCGAGCTCAGAAGCAATTCTGCGTGCCAATCAGGTACCGCAGCCAATCAGGATCCGCAGTCAATCAGGTTCCGTAGCCAATCAGGTTGCGACATCAGCTGACAAGAACACCGAAGAATAAATCATGAAGCGAAAAGCGCGAGCATCATAAGTTCCGATCTCTATTTCCCCGATTGTATGCACCAGAATGGAGACGCCCACAAGGCAGTCGAGGAATCGAGAGTCGATACTGCAGGTCTTTATCTTAGATTGGCCAAGTTTAAGAAAAGTTAAAAAATATATATATATATATAGATATTTTTTAGTGGTTTCGCTGTTTGTAGATTTTGTCTAGGAAGTTCTTGGGGAAGGGGGGTTGAACGCAGCTTTGGGGTGTGCGTATATATCACTGGTTTACTTAGGGGGAAGTCGCCACCCGTGTTGTATTTATTGCTATGGAGAAGAGAACTTGTAATTGGGCTAGTTGTTGAACGTTAGGAAGCATGGTGTAATGTGCCGTTCTCACACTTGCAACCGGGTAGAACCGAAAGAGACAAGATCGTTTTTTTAAGCCTCTTGCGACGACGGAGGACCTGGTCCGCAGCAGCGCACATGGTCCTATACGCCATCTTGTCTCTCTCTCTGTCCTACTCAGTTGCAAGTGTATGAATGGTGCTTAAGACGCAAAAAGAAAACATCGGACACAAGGAAGAAGACACAATGAAGGCCCGTTTCATTGACTTCCGGTGCTGCGATGCTCTTCCGCTCAATTCACACACTTGCAACAGAGTAGGACCGAGAGAGACAAGACCGGTTTCTAAGCCTTTTACGACGCCTTAGGACCAGCTCCGCAGCATCGCATCCGGTCCTGAGACGTCGCAAGAAGCTTAAAAATCGGTCTTGTCTTTCTCGGTCGTACTCGGTTACGAGTGTGTGAACGAGTCTTTCCTCGCGCAAGCATAAAGTCCAGTTCACACACTCACGACTGCTTATACGACCGAGTTCTTGCGATCTCTTAGGACGTGAGAACAGACTGGTACGGTGGGGCCATCAATGTGAGGTGACCGTGCAACTGCATTTCACTAGAGCGAATGTTTCAAATGTACACATCGCGACACTGTTAGCGCGAACACGACATCGGCGCATTTTCGCATTTTGCTTCTAAATAGTGTTAGCGAGCACGAAATTTTCTTGCTTACATAAAAAAAAACTAAATGAGCTCTTTCTGTAGCAATAACAACTTGGATGACATCCCTTGGTTTCAAAGAAAAAAACTGGAAAAACCGGCGATCGCTTGTTCGCGCTAACAATGTCGCGCTCTGTACGTATCGTGTTTCTGTATGAGAAATGGTCGTTTATAACATTGTCATAAATTTTTCGCAAAAAAGCAAAAAAAAACAAAAAAAAAACGATGATGCAGGATAGAAATTTTCCTGAAATGTCCTCGACGGCTTCCCAATCGATGGCTCCAGTGTGTTATTGCGTCGTAAAAGATCCCAATATGTTTTAAAGCACTCGGTCGTAAACAGTTTCAAGTGTGAAGCAGCCTTAACTGTATTAGCAGCTCTGGGAGGATGCGATCGAGGAATATATATCGCCAAAGCAAAGACTCTCAATTCCTCTCAATGTCCCCGGCAAAACGAAGGCCGCCGGATCAGAGACCGCGTAGCAACCGGCAGGGTTCAGGGGCGCGAGCTAGATAACACCGGCCGTCCACGTCCGGCTCCCGCGAAACGCGGGGAATGCGAAGAAAACTCGTGTAATCCGCCAGCGGATCAGAGAGCTCACAAGGACGGGCAACTATATGAGAGCGAGTGGTAAGTGTGTATACCGACAGGTGACGCTGGTCTCGCTATACCTCGAGCACATGTGCACCAAAGCACAGCTTTGTCTTGGTACTTTTCTCTCCCCCCTTCTACCCTGTCCACCGTTGCCTGTTTCCTCCTCCCTCATTATGAGGAGGATGTTCTGCCTTGCAGAATCTGGAGTCTGGTCGTCGGCCTTTTACGCCGGTCGCGCTGCTCATACGTTATACAAACGACGCAGCGACAGTTTTTCTACGATCAATGTGACCGTCCGGCAAGGAAGAAACAGGCCTGTGTCTGCAGACTGCTTTTTGTATGATGCAATAGCGTATACACGTGATAGCGGCTTACGAAATCCAGTGCATCTAAACCTTCCCGTAACGCACTTGGGAGAAATCGCGTTAGTCTATGGAAACAGCTCGGCGAATGGCGCTGAAAAATAATAATGATAATAATAATTCCTTTATTTCCCAACAAAACGAAATGTTGAAAGGTGACCAGGGAAATAAAGCTGCGAAAACAAGCTTGGCTGGCCCCACCGAAACCAGCAGTCGTGATGCACGCACCAAAGGAATTCGTATACAATGATAACAAAATTCTAGAAACTTGTACAGCGACATCAGAAATGTGAAATTATAAAACGCGAGTTAACTGCTACACGAGAGAAACAACGCTATACGCGACGAAAGCAATAGCACACACGAAACAACGACACACACAATCGTGATTACGTACAGTATACAATCTAACTCTGATTTAAGGAGACACGCACAGAATAAACCTGCTTAAAACGCATGAAAGCCGGTACGGTGCTCTGGAACTGAGCATGTGTTTACGTCACGCAAACTGCCACAGCGTAGATTGTTTTTGTTTTTTTAAATCTATACATATTTTCTGCTTCGTAATTCGCCGTAAATTGCAGCATCTCCCAAGTGCTTAAAAAAAAAAAAAAAAAAAAAAAACGCTCCACATTTTTTTTTTTTAGGATGCATTCATTGACAGTCAAAGTAATTCAGGGCGTGGCGTGTCCCGAGCATCTCATTAGCATCTCATTATAACTTCGCAGCCAATGAGATTGAGTCTTTTTTTCTTTTATGAGAACGCCAAAAAGAAAAAATTACGATGTGAGAGACACGAATAGAACCAATCACGCACAAAAGAAAAACGCAGGATTTCGGTGCATTTACTGCGCGACATTGGTTCAGCCGTTGACAGCAGACGCACAAAGACGACGAGAGCCATGACAATGCACTTTCGGCGCTGCCTGATTAGCTGGTTCGAATTGGAGCTTAATCAGCTGATCAAAACCAGGAGGAGCAAGAGGGATCGAATCAGGGATCCTCCCTTCGCAAGGTACGCCCAAACAACTTGGCACGTTGACCAAGTTCCGGGTATATAGTGCTTCACACTCCCGCAATACCCGGCCAGATATAGCGCCTCGGGGGTGGGGGTTATCGAGAAAGTTTAACGGCCTCGTGCTTGCAAAACGGCGTCCCTTCCGAGCGCGCGGCGGTGGAGGGCGAGGCCGGAGACTTTGAGGTCGGCGAGACACACGACGTGGGGCGGTGGCGGTCACAGTGCCGGTAATTAGGACACTGTCGTCGGTTCGGTCCAATTAACGGCGTCAAAAACCTGGCAGCAGCCCGCCCCGCCGCCGCATGCCTGCCGACCACCTGGCAGAATGCAGTCACCGCTCCCACGTGTGTGTGTGTGCGGCGGGGTAACGCCCGGGTCCCTTCGGGCCGATTACTTCACCGCCACCATCGACCAAGAACCCGGCCGTAATGAGAGGAAACGCGAAAGAAACGAACGAAATAACACGGGTCGGTTCTGACGGAACCGTCGGAGTGTCGATCAAGTGGCTTCCAGTGAGGCGTTCCTTATTAACGGAAATGTTTCGATTTCCGAACGTTTTTCGGCGTTTGTGCGTTTCTTTGTCTGCATTTCTTTCTGTCGTATTTTTCGGTGGTAGAAGGTAAACAGGTTCCGCCTGGTGGGACGTCGTGGGGAACGCCAAAACAAAAGTATGTTTTTGTGCGTATGTGTTTTTGTTTTCTTTTCTTTACTCAGGGACCTTCTGGCTGAATTGAATGAGTCGATCCTTTGTCAACGATCCGTTGGTTGTTCCGTCTGCGACGGCAACGCCTCCGTCAGGACTCGCTCGCTGCGTGACGAGTCAGAATCGGAAACAAAGGAATGTGTCGTAACAAAAAAGGGCGTTTTTTTGTTTGGGTGGCCTAGCTCCTCCCGACTCTGCGGGAACCTCACGGTGCAACAATGGAGCCCACTTGTTCGAGAGGTCGAAGCGAAGATTTGCCCCGATGAATCGCGTACTTGCACCCCTTGTCCCTCTCCCATTTCCCTCCACTCTAGATTTTGTCCACAAAGACAGGCAGGGCCAAGCGGCCCCTGAACATATAGAATTCAGTTTGATTGTGAAACAACACGAGGACATCAGCAGACTGGTACTTTAAGGGGGGGGGGGGGGGGTGAACCTTCCTTTCCTGGTACATACGCCGCCCGGAGGTGAAATATCGAGATGGTGATAAGACGTAGAAAGGTCCCTTCATGTCCTTAGCTAACCAAAACGTCAAGGCGGGAGTTGTGTTTGTTGAGAGTTTTCAAAACGAGGAGACTAACGCTATATACCACCAGTTTCTCCACTCTCCTATAGATCCCTTTATCTCGAATATACTGCACCACGATGCGTTCACAACAGAGGTCATTGGTCTTTCTTCAATCTGTTGAGTTAATGAGACGGACGCTGTTAGTATCTTAGTATCAATGAGAAGGTTGCTCTTAGTGTCCAGTGGGTGCTCAGGGTGCATGTCCAAACTATGGCGTGTTCGGGTACTTTACATGTTGCGTTTTCGAAAAGGAGGAGTTGACTCCTTTCTGCCACTGAAACTGCATGACTACTGGGGTGCATTACGATCCGAACTTCTCACAGGAAGACGTGTGATTGGTACTTCAAGCGCATCGCGACGCAGTTTTCATTCAGGGGGGCTCTGAGGGACTGTAGTAGGGTCATCATACAACAAGTCACTCGGGGGTCGCCGAAGCAGCAGCAGCAATCACGACACCCACGCGTCGGCCCCCGAACAGACATGTCCCCGTTCACGACGCCGTGTCGCGGACGTCGCTATGGCCTCTCGCTCATCGTGGTTGATTGGTTCGTCGTGGCGTCTCTCCAGACACCGAGACTGTTTGATTGACCCGGATCTGCAGCGTGCGCACCGAGATATACGTTGTTCGTCGTCGGGGGAAGGGCGTCCTGTCGTGGGGGACGAGCGTGTAACGGGCCTGGGCACAACGACGTCCGCTCGGGCCTTGCAGGGTGCGTCCACTACACTCTAAAAAAAAAGCGTGCCAACTAGCACCTTTTAGGGTTCTTTCGCTTGTCCAATGGGCGGCACCCTTAAAGGTGCAGAAAAGAACCCACAAAAAAGGTTCTTTCTAATGAACCCTATTTCGGGGTTCTTTTCGGATCGTTTATTGGTTCTTCTTAATGAACCCTATTTTTGGTTCTTTTCAGAACGCTTCTGGGTTCTATTTAACGAACCCTATTTAGGGGTTCTTCTAGGATCCTTTTTTGGTTCTTCCTAATGAACCCTATGTCGGGTTCTTTCCAGAACCCTTTTTGGTGCTCTTGATGAACCCCATTTCGGGTTCTTTCTAGAACCCTTTCTGGTGCTCTTAATGAACCCTATTTCAGGTTCTTTCTAGAACCGTTTCTGGTGCTCTAAATAAACCCTATTTCAGGGTTCTTTTCGTATCCTTTATTGGTTCTTCTTAATGAACCCCATTTGGGTTCTTTCCAGAACCCTTTTTCGTGCTCTTAATGAACCTTATTTCGAGGTTCTTTACGGATCCTTCTTTGGTTTTTCTTTATGAACCCTATTTCATGTTCTATTTGGAACCTCCTTGGTTCTTTCAATGAATCCCAAGTTCTTTAGATTATGTTGGCGTTATTTTAGTAAACCATATTTTGTACTTCTAACCCTCTTTTATGACAAATGAGTTTTTTTTTTACATTTCTAGTTAGTTTTTAGTAAATCGTATTTTGTATTTCTTGCTCCACAAGGTGCATTTTTTTCTACCAACCAAAGTGTCTTAAGATTGTTCATTAATCGCTAGCACTGGGCCTTCTCGACAGGTTGACAAACATCAGTCTGGCCAGAGTCAACACACTTCATTCCTGTACGTAATTAACTAGGTGACAGGCAGAACAGTAAACATCATGTCCAATCATATACTTTATTGGAGTAGCAAAAATTGATTCTTCTGTTCGCAGTAAAAAAGCTAACAAAATTCGAAACAGTTTCAAGACGAGACGGGTATCACTGCCAGCAATGTGCACACAGCTTCTACTGTCGTTCTGATGTCGCTCACTGTCAGGACACCGTCCAAAAAGATGTCAAATTCATTTTCCTGGAGATGGATGAGTGGCATCAGTGTCCGGACTTCCTACAACAAGAAAGCAAGAATATGAACACATGTATTTTCCTCTGTATTATTATGCTGCGAGTTGCTCATTCGCCGCGCTTTCAGATCAATTATAATTGTATAGGTTTCACTAAGCATTTTATTTCTCGTTTAGCCTTACGCTCTAAAACATACCCGCAGATATGATTTCCTTCAAAACATTTAGTGGGTCAATCAGTGCGATCTAGAGAGCGCGACCACCGGATGACGAAGCGTCCCCTTCGAAGCCCCCTTCGCTACAACAATGTGTAAAAGCGAAAAACGGTACGCAGCATCAAGCGTTCCCTTTCCATCCAAGAAGTAGTAAAGGAAGAAGATCGGAAGTCAATGAATTACAATATATGTGCAGTACACACGTAAAACAATGCCCAACGTGCCACCGAATTTTCTCTGCTTTTAAAAATGCCCGTGCGTCCACTCGAGGGGCCGATCAATGCAATCTACGAAGAAAACTCGGCCAATGGAGAAGCTGAAAATATGTTTGACTTAAAAATGAAGTCTGTTACGTGACACTGAGCATGAAGTCAGTACGTGAACCGCCATGCTCAGTGACATCTCTCGCTTCATTCATATGTCTAAACATGCTTTGGCCTTTTTATTCGCCGAGCTCTCTTCGTGGATTGGTGTGATTGGCTTCTCGAGTGTTCCGCGGGAAGTAGATGCACAGGAATTTTAAGCATGTTTCAAGAAACGTTGGTTCTACCCATATTTAATCCTTCTTGCCCTACAGTCAGTAACAGGTTAAGAAAAAATCTACGAGCTGGAGAGGAGGAAGCGGACAGAAGCTTGTAGGGGAGAGGAGAAACCTTCTCTCCATTTCAAGCGTCCATCGGCTTTCTTCTTTTAGATTTTTCTTAACCTGTCATTGACTTTAGTCGCTTATATTTCCTCTATATTATTTTTAGAAAATAAAGCAAGGATATGTTTTGTATTACTAGCTCGTATATTGAAGATATAACCCTGACAAGTTTGCATTACCATCTGTGACAATGCACTATACTCGGGGGTGACTTGGGCAACTTTTTTTGGCAATGTAGTCGAAGTTAAAAACGCCCGCGCATCTTAAGCGCCAATCAAGGCTATGCACACGCACTCTTCACTTCAGAAACGCCACAGAAAGTTGTTTCTGAGTATAAGTTAACCCTGTCTTAAACGAATGGCCCCGATAAGCGGTCATCAGTTCGTAATGAGGTAGTAAGTTAACCCAGCATATTTATGGTGGACGAAGGTAAACCTCTGCGTCGTCGCAGTCTGAAACTTGTGATAGATTAGAAAAACACCAACTAAAGTATACCTTCAAGCAGCTCTTCGAGGTTCAGAGTGACGTTCTTTTCCTTTGTGGAGAACCTGTGTAGAAGCTGTAAATGCCTCAATCTTGGCTCCCATGTCCTCCGGATGTCTTTGCCGAACGGCAGTTTCACGTCTTGTAGTAACTGAAAAATAAACAACGAATGGACAGTGTTGCTGGTTTACAAAAATACATTTATGCGCTATGAATTTGTGCACACGGATTGTTTACACACACACACACACACACACACACATATATATATATATATATATATATATATATATATATATATATATATTAACTAAATGACCACTTACTGTCACTATAGTGGAGTAGGGCTTGGCATCAATTAAAATAATTTCGATTTACGTTTTCTTTTATATTGACTAGTTAATCAATTTATAGGTCGCGCTGATCTCGAGGAAAGATATTGTGTCCAGAAAAGGCCTAGAACAACCGATTTTTTCTTTGACAAGTTTTTACTACGTCTTATAAGGCTTAGTACATAACAACTTGTCATTGTGCCTCATACAGAAGTAAGGCATGGCTAACATTTAAAATATATGTACATATTTGTACAATAACAAGTTCGAATATCAACTTGCCGTTGTGCTCATACACAAGAAAAGCATGGAAAACATTTCAAATAAAATATTTGTACGTTATTATTTAAACTTCGAAACCACTCTAGATAATAATCATATAAAACACTTAAGTAGCCATGAGAGACAATTGTGTTATAAACACAAAAAAAGAATTAAATGAATAGTCTTTTTACTTTTTTGTTTATAAGACTTTTCGTAACTCTAAATCCAACCAATATGCCTGTTAAACTCACTTGATTCAGAGTAAAACAATAGTTAATTAATCGGAATGTTAACTCATTGATTGCCTAGCCTTATTACGAGGTAAAATTATTTAATTTAGCACGTATCAAAAGCCCTTATCTCATTCACAGGCGATAAAACGGGTAGTAAGAAACTTTTGAAATCCTGATGATCTGTAAAAATCTCGAAACTTTAAGACTAAATATAAAGAAGATAATATTGAGTTACCATTGAGGGAATCGTCATTGCCGGAAATTCCTCAAGGACTGTGAGGGCTCCAGCATCGCTGAGGATCCATTCTTGGCAAGACTGAAACGTCCGCATCATGCGGTCTTGTATCAAGTCGACGTTCAGGGGCGCTTTAGTTATCTCTTCGTTCATGAGCAAAACATGACGGCGAGCACTCACGGCGTCTTCACATTTGTGAGTATCAACGAATCCCTAAAACAAAAACAATTTGTTACGTTGATGCGCCGTTTACGCATGTAAGCTATTTACATAATAGTTGCAGCACTGAATATAGGACCAAGTATAACAGTTATTTTTATCAAACATACATCCACATTTGTGCAAACACAAAATGCACAAAAAGTTCGCGCCTGTCGATTTCCGCACAACACTCCGAGAGCCAATCGTTGCAACCTGCGAAGTCCTCTCAGCGAATGACGACGCGGAACATACGTTTAGACCAAGAAATGCAATCTGCGCTGTTACATTAAGCAAAGCAAGCGGGACTTTTTGCATTCCCTGATGTC